CAAAATGTAATGCAAGTTCTTTTATAACTTAAAGAAAAAAGAACGTACTGGCAACTATCATACCTCAAAATGAAGGGATTTGATTTATACTTCTCAACATAGTCCCCATTGTGTTCAATAGCCACTGTCCACAAGTTACTAAGTCCACATATTGCTAGCTTCGTAAAACTGAGCAGGTTGGTCTTTGGGGTACAGCAGTCTTGATTTCTCCATCGTTGCCATAGTGTTCACTTTTCAATTGTTCTTTTCTAGGACAGAAAAGATGAAAGTTTGAAGGTTCCCAATCAGGAGATTAGGTTGGATGTGGCATTGTTTTTCACCCAAACGGGGTGATTGTCTCCTTTGTTCTGGCATTCATATGCAGGTAGGTGGGCATCATCATGGTGAAAAGGAAACACTCTTTCTATGTCTAAATTTGGTCTGAATGGTCAAATTCTCGCTTTTAGTCTTTCCAGTGTTTCGAAGTATGCATCAGAATTGACCGTCGTTCCTCGTGGTAAAAAAAAAAGTGAGAAACGCGCAATGAACGTCCCAAAACTGACTTTTCCGGCTGATGTTTCGAGACGATGCAGACAGACAAGCATATGGACACTTCTCTCTCTTCCTCCGGTTCATTGCTCAAATGTCTGGCCCGCCTATATACGAGTACATTTCCAAAATCTACAGCTTGGTCTTTGTAAACATTTTGAAGTCTCTTTCGGATGTTACCGGTGGATTCTACTTCTAAAACAAGAAGTTCAATCACAGTTTTTTGCCCCTGACACACCTCCAAGGAGGCAGCCATTTTGATGTGACGTCATTCAGGCAAAAATCGAAGAAACTTCAATTTAATTTTAACAGTTTGAGTTCAAAAATACATGTGCAAGTACTTGTGAGCTGAATTTAATCAAATTTGAAGCGATACTGTGAAAAATAGCGAACAACTTGCATTACTTTTGACTACCCCTTGTATCAATAAAATTGTGTGAATGAAAAAGTAGTTATAGAATATACGATTGAAATGCAACAAACAGCTTAAAGTGCTTGATGCTTCATACTTTTTAACGACAATAAGGGAAATATAAACAAATAAATAACTATTTAATCAAATAATTGATAACTTTCAAGCGCACATGAACGTGGGTGTCTAGTGGGAACTCTGGTGTGGTTCGCCACTGCGTTCCTCCCAAACATGTATCGTTCTAATCCAGCTCTATTTATTTATCGTTTTATCTGTTACTCAGTAGTAACACCTCATTGTCATCGGCACTTACACGACCTATTTCTGTTCCAAGTGCCGTAAAACATTTACTGAAACTAAAGTAAAATATAGAAAGCATTCTGGCCCATCTGTCCCCAGTCGACTCCAGCGCCTCCACTGCCTGGGACAACTGCCACTGGACAAGCATCCAGGCCCAGGACAACTGCACTGACCACTTGGAGTACTTCACGATGGCCCCGGCCTTGGTCGCTAGGATGAACCCAAACACCAGGTTCATCATGATCCTCAGGGAACCAGTGGAAAGGTCAGTTCGGGTTTTCTCTTATTTATTTATTTATTT